ATCCTTAAAAAAATAGTATATTCCATCAAATTTGCTTCAAAGATCTTTAAGTTAATTAATTAATTTTTTTATCTATTTATTCTCTATGTTTTTTAAACGTCATGAAAAACCAACTTTTTGACGACTATTTCGTGACAGTTAGAAAAACGTCACGAAAAGTAAAAAATCCGGAACACTCCGTCATTTCCCGCCAAAAACGCGCCTCAACCTTTAGTGACATTTTTTAAACGACACGAAAAACCAACTTTTTGACAACCATTTCGTGATGGTTAGAAAAACGTCACGAAAAGTCAAAAATTTGGAACACTCCATCATTTCCCGCCAAAAACGTGCCTCAACCTTTCGTGACGTTTTTTAGTCGTCACGAAAAACCAACTTTTTGACCACCATTTCGTGACGGTTAGAAAAACGTCACAGAAAGTCAAAAATTCGGAACACTCCGTCATTTCCCGCCAAAAATGCATTTTTTGCCTTTCATGACGCATATTTTTTTTAACAGTATTTTACTGTTCATGAACGTCACGAAAACCCAATTTTCTGGTAGTGTTTAGATAATGTTTAGATAATTTGGATATCCATTATAAATTGTAATGTTTAGATAAAATCAATATTGTTTATAAAAAAATCAATATAACTTTTAAAACTTAAATTTAAGTTGTACTAAAAAAAACTTAAATTTAAGTTATTTAGGTTTTTTAAGCCTAGAATATATGAAAATCTTTTATTGAATCCCACCCAATTTGTAAAAAAGAAAAAAAAAATCATCACATGAAAGAGAAAAAATGTGATAGGTCTTTTTTTTTTTTCAGGAGTGATAGGGTTAGTGTTAATTATACTTTTATGTGAATCAATACTAAACCTAACAGGGGTAGCAAATGTAATATAAAAAGATTTTATTTTTATTATTGGTTAAAATTAAATTATTATTTATATGGATACTTAAATATCTTGTTTTTTTAAATGATAATAATAAAAATACTTCAATATCCACAACTAGAATACTATTTTGGAAATTGTTGTTAATATATATAGAATACAATAATTTTAGGGGAGGAATTAGTAAACTACATCTCCACAAAAGAGAGGACATGTAGTATTAAAAAGATAAAAGACATAGCCACAGATAAATGTAGGTGTGTGACTTTTTTTTCTTTTGTTATGCTTATAAAATTTATATCCGGAATTTAAAAATTTTATCCAAATAATAATAAATAATTGGTTAAATTTCAAAATTAGTTTATGATTTGTTTTAAAATATTTGTATTCACATGTATTTTGGACATGGTAATATACTAATTATTATAAAAGAAGCTAAAAATATTGTTATTAGGAGACAATACCTCAAAACTTAAAACATACTCATGCTTGTCATATATAATTATCTTTTGTTGGCCGTATATGATCTCTATACTGCATCGAAGGAATTTCCGTAAAAGGTTATCAAAAGCAATTCAACTAAAATTTTAAGAGCAAAATAATGAATAAATAATCAAATAAAATCTAAGAGGAAAAGAAGACTAAAATGTTTGTAATTAAAAAAAAAAAGAAAAGCAGGAATATATCCTTTTATTAGAGCGTTTATAGGAGATAGTTATAAAACTTTTGAATTGGTATACATTTTCTTATATTTTTTTGTTCAACCCTCTAAATCCTAATACGATAAGGTGCCGTTTGGTTCAAGTTTTAAGGGTGAGAATGAGCTTAGGCATATAAAATCTACTTTTAGTTGGAGGATTATAATTTGTTTGTCTGAGAATATTCTTTTGCAAGGCTAAATCAAAATAAGAAAGTCCGTGGAAAATGGTGGTTTTGTTGAAAACCCTTCTCTCCCTCGTAAAATCATATTTCTCTCATAAAATCATATTTTTCTCTCTTCTACAACAACTTTTCAGTTCTCTAGTCATATTCGTTTGAAATTTCTTCTTCTTCACAAGAAGATGAATCATTTTTATACTGCTTTTTTTTAGGTATTTTTTTTATTTCTTCTAACTCTGTTCTTAATTTCTTCTTACATTGCTATTTTTTTTATTTCTCTTCCTTCGTTCTTCTTTTTGTACTTGTTATTTTAATTTGAGATGATAATTATCGTTTCCTCTGTTCTTTTGGTTATTTTCGGACAAATTTTTTTTTATACGAGAAAACCACTTGATAAGAAGTGCAACTACATCCCTTAACACATGAAAATGCTCAAGACGAATGGTTGTAAAATTCTGTTCAACTACTTGAGAATGAAAACATCCACTGAACACCAAAAATTACTCAGACAGTAAAATGCTTCTATCTTAGCTCACAAAATATAATAAAAATAAAAATTCCTTCAGTAACGGTCATTTCATCTAGGTTATCTATAGCTTAAATGTTGGTGGGTACATGAATACTCTCGACTCTATTACCCATGAAATTTGGTGGCAGATTTCGTGGGTGATAGATTTACTCATTAATTATAATTAGAAGATTATAAATAAAATTGTTAAATTTTTTATATTTTATTTTAAGATTTATTTCTAAACCAAATAAATAAATAAAAATGTATTACTTATAATAATTATACTAATGAATAAAAATTAAAATTTTTCAAATTATTTTAAGTAATTTGTTTTAATAAAAATTGGTTATCTAACAATAATTAATTATTTAAAATTAGTTAATGTAAGTTAATGGTTGAAAGTAGATTCTGATATGATTYCATGCACAACAAATACAGTTATCTTTCATTCTCAGTATTTTATTCCCAGGTAATCTTTTTAAAACCTTGAATCAAACGACTTTTAAAAGTTAACAATCGAAAATAAGTTAAATAAATTAAAGGTAAATTGCAAAAACTACCCTAAATATRATAGTTGTTATAATTACACCMTAAACTTTCAATTGTAAAAACTAAATCTTTCAGCTCCGATAAATGAAAAAAATAAATCCTTAAATTTTCCATTTAAAAATTAAATCCTTAAATTTTTATAACCAATAAAATTGTAATCTGTAAAAATTATACTTTACTAAAAAAAAAATCTGTTTGAAAATTCAACTCATTCTCTGTTGAAAATAATCTCCGATCCGGCTCCATTATTGTCGGGAGCTTCTCCAACCTTTGAGCAACGTGGGCAATTGGCCTCGGCCTAAATCWTACGGACTGGAGTACTCGTTAGATTGTGAACGGAAATCATCGGAATCAGACCTGCCATTTTCCCACTTGCATTGCTGTTGAACGCTCATGACAAACGATTCCCGCCGGCGATGACTGAAAACAGGAAAACGTGAAGATAATTGAGATGGGCCAAAATGGGGCAATTCCGGTCAATCGGTGCTTGCAATTTGAGTGACAGAGCAACCTTATTGCCTTAAACTTCAGCCATTTGAAGATTGCAGTTCCACCGGTTCTAGACATGTATACAATTAAAAAAGATGAGGAGATAAAGACAATTCCTCCGGAACCCAGATTGAATCCAAGTTTATTCAAACTTGAAGCTCCAAATCTATTGAAAAGAGGGACAAAATGAAGAGGTAGAAGACGGTGAAGGTGGCGACGTTTGTCTGAAACAGGTGTGGAACAGTGAGGTTCTGAAAGACAACGTCGATGGAGCCGTGAACCTCTTTCGAGCATAATTTGGAGAATTTTCAAATATTTAATTTTTACTATTGAAATTTTCATTACGTTCAATTTTATCCCATGGTTTAACTATTGAAAGTTTAGGGTTTTACTTTTTCATTTATCAARTTTAATTTTTACCATTGAAAGTTTACGAGTGTAATTGTAACAACTACCAAATTTCAGAGTAGTTTTTACAATTTACCCTAATAAAAATTTTAAACTCTCCAAATCAAATATATGTAAAATTTGAAAACATTTGTGGGATATAGTTTCTAATATGACTATGAAAGACATTTTGGATATTTGGGTATTGACAACATGTCCACTCAAAATAGAAGAGTTGAATGTTACACGAAGATAGGTCTCACCTTGCTCGAACTTCTATGCCATTAGAAGAATATTGGTGGATTTTATCATCTTAGTGTCATTAATCTTGACAAACAGGTTGATTGTTGGGAGTAAACAATATCCCAMATGCCAATTAGAAAAGAAGAAAATATTTATTTATATATGTAGAAGACGACATATTCGTTACTGGGAGTTATTTTGGGTGAAACCATAAATAAAGTCACTGGAACTTAGGATCAAGGTGAAGTACAATACTACTATCCTAAAAATAGGAAGACTCATTTTCTTAACAAACATAATCTCTATGGGAAGTCTTAACCAACTTAATAGCACAATAAATGTCCGAGTTCTTTAAAAAATCTCTGAGGTCGACCATCCAAGTTGTCGGAAGGGCCGGGCAGGTAGTGAGGGATCATATAKCTGGCCAAGTGATGTAACTGAGACGAATGAGAAAGGGGCAAAGCAGCTACCTATTGGAGTTACCATGGTGGGCTTGAAATTGACGAAAAGCATGCGTGGAGCAATATTCAGAAGATGAAGAGTCCACACTCCACTTGGTGCTCCGTTTACGCGGTGGGATGCAAATCTTCGTGAAAACCCTCACTGGAAAAACCATCACCTTGGAGGGTGGAAAGCTCTGATACCATCGACAATGTGAARGCCAAGATCAAGAAAAAGAGGGCATCCCACCAGACCAGCAGAGGTTGATTTTCGCTGGAAAGCAACTGGAACACGGCAGGACTTTGGCCGACTATAACATTCAAAAAGAGTCGACTTTGCATTTGGTACTGCGTCTTCGTGGTGGTCGTATCTAAACTGTGGTATCTTTTAGATTTCCTCCTCTCCGTATAATAATCTCTATTCTTAAAATCTCTGAGACTCGTGTGATCTGGTTATGATTTTTATTGGTTAGCTATGTAACATTTCCTTTATCCATCGCTTTATAGTTGTTTTTCTTGTATTTCCTATGAGTCTTTCCATTGTGGTTTCTGTTGTAGAACATAATGATTCAGTTGATCTGCTTTTAGGTTTTTGATGTATTATTTTTGAAGGGCACTCACATTTCTAAAGCAAAGTTTCGCACACAAAAAGTGTTATTTAGTAGGAGCAAGAGCCAGAGCTATTTAAAGGCTTTATTTATTAAAACATAAGATAAAAAGCACGGTAGAATGTGCTATTTGGAGTGCGTAGGCTAGAAAATTAAGAGGGTGCTTAGAAGTCGCATCTCTGTGGGCGGATTTGGCACATGGATGGCAACATCCTTGCATGCTGTAGAATTTGGCTTCCTTGTTGGCCATGCTGCTGGCTCTGTACCTCACGAGCAACCTCCTCCAAAGCATCGCACCTGCACTGCTCTTCCACGTTCCTCAGTTGTCGGCAGCACTCTTCCAAGCCTTGCTCTCTCCCCCATTGGTTCTCCAAAATTTCTCTTCTGCCGCCGCCCTGCTGCCTGAGGAAGTCCTGGCAACTGCGGAGTTGCTCGCGGGGCCTGATGTGGCGGCACCTCTCCTGCCGACCTTGGTTGTCCTCGTCCACCTCCACGGTGGTGATGGTGGTGCGGTAGGCGTAGGCATCTGCAATCAGCAGTGCAACTGCGAAGAGGGCAATGATGCTAGAGAGCCTGGCCATTGTTATTTCTTTTTGGTTGCAAATGGGGAAGTGGGGAATGGAGTGAGGGAATTGAAGCCTGAAGGCGGTTGGTATTTGTAGGAAATGGTGGATGGTGCATGTAGGAAACGTGGAAGGAGTGAGGATAGCCATGCAAATGCAAATGAGMAGCCAGATGTGTGGCAGTTTGAAGTGTGGTATTTGGTCTTTTCTACTGCTAAGTGCTAAGGGAGGTGTGGGCSTACGTGGTCGTTTTGCCGCGAACATCATTCTCTAAAGACCAACACATAATAACTCAACTCTCACCTTTGTTTGTCTTTCTGTCTCTCTCCTACTTAGTGTGCTTTGAGAAGGCAGCTGCTTTGGTTAAAGCTATCTCGAAAGCTATTTYGGCTATATTTGGAGTTGCAAAAAATTTGGCTCAAAGTTAGGGATGATCTTCTTTCTTACACCATTAAATATCCTTTATAACTAAGAGAGAAATGTAAAAACTAAAAACAAAGTTAAAAAAAATAATAAATTGTCAAATTTTTAATGTATTTAATAGTATYAAAGAGAAACTTTAAGAAGCTAAGTTATTTAATAGTATTAAAAGAGGAAATTTAAGGAATGAGATTGTACAATATATTTGTAATACTCACGACTAAGTCATCATATTACTCGACAAGAAAAAAAAGGTAAATCATATTTTTTAGAATAAATAACACTGAATAAGTACGTTCAATACTTTGAAGTTTCAAAATTTTGTTTAATAGTCTTTGAATTTTAAAAGGTGTGAATAGTTTCTAAATTTTAAATTTTAACAAATTTATCAAATTTGTGTTTAATAGATCTAACAAGTCTTAACCTGTCTATTAATGTTTGACAATATATATAGCGAATTTTAAAAATTATTGAAAAAGTTAAGAAATTATTAAATAAATACTTTTCACCTACTAAATACAAAATTAAAATTTAAGATCTATTAGACACTTTTTAAAATTCAAAAATTTATTAGACATGATTCTAAAAAGTATAAAAACTGAATTTATAATTTAATTTAAAGTAATTTTTTTTATCGAATCACTACTATTATATACTTTAGCTAGGTTTGTGAAGAAGTACTTCATGCCATGATCAAAGTACTYTGTTTATGCAAGGATATGCACAACAGTGTATTTCTGATTGCAGCTCGAACTCGGCCTCCGGACCGATCTGAACACTTGGGCGGACCTGCATAAAAAGGTGAGCACTCCGACGATCAAGTCAGTATAGGTCGGATTCCCAGTTTAGTTCGAGGTCAAAGAATCATCGTACCTGATCGTGGAGTGAGGTCCTCTACTTATGGGTGGTAGTCCCGCTAATCTCGCGACGGTTACACCCGGTAATCTCGG